CCCCCCCCCATTTCCTTATGAAACCCAGTCCCTCCTCCTCCCAGGCTCAGCTTATGGTGCCTTTGTGCCCACTCTTGGCAGCAGCAGGCCTCCCTCTCCGAGCTCTGGGCTTCCCCATTCTCTGCCCTCTGTGGTGGAAGTGGACGTCCCTTAAGGGGAGGGTCGTTGGCAAGAGCTGAGTGCTGGCAGGGCTGTGGCCCAGCTGGCACAGAGTGGGCCTGTGATTGAAAGTGCTCCAGCTCCCAGGGTCAACGATGGCTCAAAAGAGCCCCTCAGACCCATGGGAAACACTCAGTGCAACTTTTCCGTTCAAGTCCTTTCTTCCCACCGTGGTCCACTGGTGTGTGTCTTAGCTACATAACAGCTCTTTCCCACTCTGTTGAGAGTCCTTCCTGTTGACTGGTGGTTTCCATGTTAGCAGCAGCAGCGAGGTAACCTTGCAGGAGTTCCCACAGTGCCAGAGCTATACATACCAGGAGCCTGGGTCCCCTTCAGCCCTGGCACAGCTCCCCACTGTGGCCACTACCTTCAGGGGCTGACCCTCTCCTTGCTTTATGGCTCTACCTTCTGGAGATGAGACTCACAGAATCAAGGGATTTCAGAACTCATTTCCTGGCACATACAATGTTCCCTAATATTGTATGTGCCAGGACGTGTGATAGATGCTAGAGTCCATGGGAACAAGACAGGTCCCTGCCTTCATGAGGTAGTAGGGAGATGAGGTTAAATAAGCACAGACATGGATAACTGCAAATTTGGATGTGTGTTAAGAAGGGAAAGTGTAGGAATCAGAGTGTAAGAAAGAAGTCTGGTTTAGATTTTGGGGGGAAAAAGCCAGCCTCTTTCAGGATGTGACAGACATATATAAACTGATACCTAGGGCAGCGCACCTGTGGGTAGGGCGCTGGCCCCATATACCAAGGGTGGCAGGTTCGATCCCAGCCCCAGCCAAACTGCAACAACAACAACAACAACAACAACAACAACAACAAAAATAGCTGGTGGTTGTGGTGGGCACCTGCAGTCCCAGCTACTTGGGAGGCTGAGGCAAGAGAATTGCCTAAGCCCCAGAGTTGGAGGTTGCTGTGAGCTGTGACACCATAGCACTCTACCAAGGGCAATAAAGTGAGACTCTGTCTTTAAAAAATAAAAAAGTAAAAGAAAAATTAAACCGAGGGTGGCGCCTGTGGCTCAGTGAGTAGGGCACCAACCCCATATGCCAATGGTGGCAGGTTCAAACCCAGCTCCGGCCAAACTGCAACAAAAAAATAGTTGGGCATTGTGGCAGGCACCTATAGTCCCAGCTACTTGGGAGGCTAAAGCAAGAGAATCGCCTAAGCCCAAGAGCTGGAGGTTGCTATGGGCTGTGATGCCACAGCACTCTACCAAGGGTAATAAAGTGAGACCCTGTCTCTAAAAAAAAAAAAAAAAATTTAAACCGATACCTAAATGGATAAGTTGATGATAACTAGAGGAAGAACATTCTAGAAAGAAAATGCACAAAAGGTGGCTCACACCAATAATCCTAGCACTCTGGGAGGCCGAGGTGGGTGGATTGCCTGAGCTCACTAGTTCGAGACCAGCTTGAGCAGAAGCAACACCCTGTCTCTAAAAAGCCGGTGTTGTGGCAGGCGCCTGTAGTCCCAGCTACTTGGGAGGCTGAGGCAAGAGGATCTCTTGAGCCCAAGAGTTTGAG